GTCCTTAACACCTTTGAAGAGCTCTGTGATCACTGTTCTCTGTAGAACAGACCTTACAGTGAGAACTGTGGTCAATGAATGAGAAAAATGAGACGCAAGGAGGATCTTGGGTAACAGGGGCCAAGAGGCAGGCTCCAAGTGCCAAAACCAATGTGGGCAAGTCATAACCAAAGAAAGCAGAGTGAAAGCAACAATCAGAATAGTCTGACTCTTTTACACCGCTTATAATGTTGGATATTTGATCATGGAGCTCCCAAAAGTGAACGTGATAGAATACCTATGAATACATTCATACTAGATCTGTAGAAGCAGAAAAGTTCTAGGTCAAGTGAACAAAAATCTAACCTGGATAAAAATAAATAAATAAATAAATAAAAATAAAAACTGAGTCACAAAATAAAAAGCATCCAAATTGGAAACGAAGAAGTAAAATTGTCATTATTCCTAGATGACATAATACTGTACTTAGAAAACCCTAAAGAATCAAAAAACTACTAGACTTAATAAATGAATTCGGCAATGTAGCAGGATACAAAATTAACACCCAGAAATCTATGGCTTTTTTATTCACCAATAATGAACTCACAGAAAGAGAAACTAAAAAAAAAAAAAAAAAAAAAAAAAAATCCCATTTACATTGCAACAAAAAAATTAAGTACCTAGGAATAAATTTAACAAAGGAGGTAAAGGGCCCATACTCAGAAAATTACAAGATGCTGAAAAAAGAGATAGAACAGTGGTCGGCAAACTGCACCTCACGAGCCACATGCAGCTCTTTAGCCCCTTGAGTTTTTAGCTAAGGCCAGCTTAGAATTACCCTAATTAAGTTAATAACAATGTACCTACCTATATAGTTTAAATTTAAAAATTTGTCTCTCAAAAGAAATTTCAATTGTTATACTGTTGATATTTGGCTCTGTTGACTAATGAGTTTACTGACCACTGAGATAGAGGAAGACATAAACAAGTGGAAGAATATACCGTGTTTCCCCAAAAATAAGACATCCTCCGAAAATAAGACCTTCTTACAGGTTTCCTTCTGAGTGAAATATAAGGCATCCCCCAAAAAATAAGGCCCCCCCTAGGCTAAACATGAGAGATTTGGTCCACTGATTCTGAAAGAAATGGAGTCACAAGAAATTCACCAGAAAATTCAGGAATTGGATTGTTATGATGATGTTCCAGAAGATGATGACATGATTGTCATTGAATAAATTAGTAAATTCTTGATACTGTAGGATTCACAGTTTGTCTGGTTTGTGTTGACAACTACCGTACTACCGTACCATATACAGGTAATAAATTTCCTTTATTTTCATTTAACAATAAATGTGTACCGTGTTCTTCTTCATGGAAAAATAAGACATCCCCTGAAAATAAGAACTAGCGCATCTTTGGGAGCAAAAATTAATATAAGACACTGTCTTATTTTCAGGGAAACAGGGTATTATGTCATGGATTGTTAGAATCAACATAATTAAAATGTCCATACTACACAAAACAATCTATAGATTCAATGCAATCCCCATTAAAATACCAATGGCATATTTCAAAGACTTAGAACAAACTCTCCAAAAATTCATCTGGAACATAAAGAACCCTTAATAGCCACAGCAATCCTGAGAAAGAAGAAAAATGTTAGAGGGATAACAATACCAGATATCAAGCTATATTACCAAGGCACAGTTCTCAAACTGCCTGATACGGGCATAAGAACAGACATATAGACTAATGGAACAGAACAGAGAATCCAGAAATTGACCCAAGCCATTATGCTCAATTAATATTTGACAAAAGAGGGAAGAGTATACAAAGGAGTCAAGACAGTCTCTTCAATAAGCGGTGTTGGATGTGTAAAGCATGTCTGGCCATTTCTCCTTCCAAGCAAACCTACCAGAGAACAACCTGTTGTATTTCTTGAAATTCTGTCCACTGGAAGGATTTTCCTTCACCATTGTCCTTCGGGAATGTTTTAGAATGGGGCTATTGTTCTGTAGTCATCCACTTTCTTTTCAAAGAGTACAAACTTCCAGTTATAATAAGATGAGTAAGTTCTGGGCATCTAATAATTAGCATGGTGATTATAGTTAACACTGTATTATACAATTGAAAATTGCTAAGAGGGTATGTTTCTGACTCCGCACACAAGAAAAATTGATTCATGTGAGATGATGGATAAGTTAAACCATATTGTGGTAATCATTTCACAATATATATGTGCATCAAATCATCACATTGTACATCTTAAATTTATACAATATTATATGTCAATTATATCTCAACTAAAGGCCCTATGACAGTCCTGGAGCCCCGAGATCAATCGCCCCACAGAGAGAGGCCCCACCCACTTGCCATAGTGCCACCAGTCAGGTAGCCTGGGCCTCCCTCTGCAGGGCCAAGGTTCTGTGATCGGTCGCCCCACAGTAGGAGGCCCTGCCTATCCGCCGTAGCACGCCGGTCAGTGACCTGGACCTCCTTCTTTGGGGCAATTGCAGAGTCCCCCCAATCAATCAACCCAGTGGCCAGTGGCCTGGGCCTCCCTCTGTGGGGCGATAGTGGATTGCATTGCACCTGCCTTGGCTGGCCTGGCACTAGTGCTTATCATAGCGTGGTTGTCCGGTCATTCTGCTGGTTGGTTAATTTGCATATTATGCTTTTATTATTATAGATAATGCTGGGGGAAGGGGGCAGGGGTTGCGAAGGCCAACAAGGAAAAAGCAAAAATGAAAGATACATGATGAAAGAACTGCAGAACATTATCTGGGATTCTGGATTCCAAATCTCTTTAACTGATTTTGTTTTTAATAAATAAATTTCCTTTTATGCTTTAATTCAGACTTAGCTGAGTTTTTGTGAGACTTAAGAGTACTGACTATAATTCATAGAGTAAAATTTCATAAATTCAAAAAGTCATATAAAAATATGCTCACTAGCACATAGCATCCAGAAATATATCTACAAAAAAATTCAATGTTACCAGTATTTGGTCCAGAAATATGAAGACAATTTAATGTTAGGGATTTTATTGATATGACCCAGCACATCAACAGACCAAAACAAAAATAGTATTATTTCAATAGCTGATTTTTTAAACTAGTAAAATTTTAAATCTATTCTTTTTAAATTCTTATTAATTAGGGTTAAAAGGATATTCCATTAAATAAAAAATATTATCTAACTAACCCATTAGCTAAAATCATATATAACCTTCGAAGGCTAGCTGTATTCCCAGTCAAATTATAAAATCAACTAGAGGCCTGGTGCACAAAATTTGTGCGTGGGGATGTGTGTCCCTCAGCCCAGCCTGCACCCTCTCCAATCTTGGAGCCATAATCCAGGACTGCTGGCTCCCAACTGCTCGCCTGCCTGCCTTCTTGATTGCCCCTCACCGCTTCTGCCTGCCAGCCTGATCACCCCCTAACCACTCCCCTACCAGCCTGTTTACCTTTAACTGCCCTCCCCTGCAGGCTTGATCGCCCCCAACTGCACTCCCCTATTGGCCACCTTGTGGCAGTCATCTTGTGTCCACATGGGGGAAGCCATCTTTGACCACATGGGGGCAGCCATCTTATATGTTGGAGTGATGGTCAATTTGCATATTACTTTTATTAGATAGGATAAGAGAAACACACCAATTTTTTTTTTAATATATTTTATTGGTTTTTCACAGAGAGGAAGGGAGAGGGATAGAGAGCTAGAAAGTCTATGAGAGAGAAACATCGGCCAGTTGCCTCTTGCATATCCCCTACTGGGGATATGCCCGCAACCAATGTACATGCCCTTGACCGGAATCAAACCTGGGACTTTCAGTCCATAGACCGACGCTCTATCCACTGAGCCAAAATGGTTTCGACCAAAACACACCAGTTTTTAAATGGACAAAGACATCAATAAGAAAAGCACAAATAAATATATTGACACCAAAAAATTACACATCACTAATAATTAAGAAAGAGTAAAATAAAAAGCTTTAAAACAATAGAAGCTAATCTTGACTATCATACGGAGAATTAAAACACTTATTTAAAACTGGTTGGGAGGTAAACTAGTAAAAACTTTTATAAAGAGAAATTTGGCAAAAATATATTTAAAACTTTAAAAGTATGCACACTATTGTTTCATAAGACAAGTAAGAAATTCTGAAATTTTTATTTATAAAGCCATTTTTTATTATTGTTTATCATTACTAAGTAATCAAGTATATGTAGTGGAAAGGAAAAGAACAAAAATATAAGGCTCTTTTTATAAAAGGGAAACTGAACTGGAACTGAAAATTTGGTAGAAATTAAAGTAATTTGAGGGTCTACCGTATCTTTTCACCTGCCACATAATCAGTCAATTATGTTCTCTCCTCCTCCTCTTTTCTTTTATACTTGATATCTTCACCTTGTTCAATACTCCCACATCCTTATATCTTGTGTAAATGGCTTAAGTTTACCATAAACCTCCAGCCCTGCTCTGCTTCATGGCAACTCTCAAAGAATTCTTACAGTTTCTGTCCTACTCTTAATTACTGTTCTTTAATTACTTATTCCAAACAAGATCATCTTCTCAAATGGCATCACTGGCATTAAGTCAGAGGCTGGCTAACTCTTAGCTTATATCTGATCCAAACAGCTCTGGTAAGGATAGCAGGGAGCATGGGCAGGACAAACACTCTGAGATTTCTAGTGCAGAGACACACGTGGATGCACATGCACACACACACACAATCCTGGAAATCAACTTGGTGTCCCAATAAGGGCAAACTAATAAATTATGCTCATCAATAGGGGAGGGATAAATGCACAGCATATAGCAATATGGAAACCATAGGTGATAATATAAGAAAGAAATCTGGATAGAAAAATCATAACTATTCTTAATTTTGTTCTTGATGGCTTCATATTTTCCCAAATCTCCATACTAAACATAATTTCTTTTATAATCTTAAAAAAAACAATCACTTTGCGTAACAATATTTAAAATTTTTCTTTATAAATAGAAAACATTTTAATTACCTTTCCAACATCACATCTTGTACCTTCATTCACCATCCCAGGATCTGGAACATCTGATCCTAGCTGAAAATCCACACCCCAACATTTGGTGCCTCCACTGGGGGTCAGAATAATAGCAGGCACAATTCCAAATACAGGCATCTCTTGGACATTCTCACATTGAAGTTTTCCACACAAAGCATTTCTATAAAGACAGAAAAATAAATGTAAAATGCACCGGTATAGATACAATAGAAATATTATATATATGTACATAAATAGAGTGTACTGCTATTTAGCTTAAAGGAATCTCAACAGAAAGAGTGTGTGAGAGCAACAGAAATCAAACCAGCTCTCTTTAAATACGGCAGAGAAGAGCAGAGGTAAATGGATGCTAAGGTGCAAATTAGTAGGGTGCCAGGCGGTGCCGATGCTCCTTTTTGCACACCTAATCCCTCCTCACTGTCTATCTAGGGCTCAAAAAAACCTAACAAAGTTTCTTATAAACATGATATAACTTTACAAGTAGAAAATAATAGAATTACATCAAAATACAATTGTGCCCAGCCGGCGTGGCTCAGTGGTGGGTCGTCAACCTATGAACCAGAAGGTCACATTTCAATTCCCAGTCAAGACACATGCCTGGGTTGTGGGCTCCATCCCCAAGGTGGGGCATGCAGGAGGCAGCCAATCAATGATTCTCTCTCATCATTGATCTCTCTCTCTCTCTCTCTTCCCCCCCCCTTCCTCTCTGAAATCAATAAAAATATATATTTTTTAAATTTCAACTGTGTCTTCTTTAAAGAAGTATGACAGGAAGGAAATTAGATTATGTAATGTAAAATAAGAAAGGACTCCACCTTTCTTGGCTTGGCTCTGAGTTACTTACTTGAAGACTCAATCCATGGCTCATCAATACACCAAGGCTGTGTGAGTTAAATGCCCTTCCAAGTCCTTTCATAACATACTAAGTACCCCTAACATCAACTCTTATAAGGCTGTATTGAAATTTCCTATTTAACTTATCACTTTTAAATTATAGAACAAGAAAAACATAATAAAATATAAAATTAATTTTGTGCTTCTATGGATTTAGCAACACAACCTTTTAATGAAAGGAAGAAAGAGGAGGAAGAGTGTTTATTTGTGATTCCAGTGTAGTACATAGATCACATGTGTCAAACACAAGGCCCGCGGGCCAAATCCATCCTGCCAGGCCTTGCAATGTGGCCCGCACCACTCTGTCATCACTGCACTCCGCTGCGTTTCCATCACAATGACAGTTTATGACTGTTCAGTAAACCATTCGGCCCGCGATTTAGGCTGGATTTTAGATTTTGGCCCCTTCTCTGATTGAGTTCGACACCCCTAACATAGATAAACAAAGATTCTAAAAACCATTTGATTTCAGACAGATAATGTCAAAAGGGGTGACTAATTTTACCAGTTCTATTCAGTCTCCCTGAAACCTTGTGTTGCAAAACTGTAAGTTTGAAAAGTTTGGTATTTAAGGGGGAGAAAGTTAGCAGTCACATGGAGTTATAAAACATGACTAGTTGCCAAAACTGGTTTGTCTCAGTGGATAGAGCGTCAGCCTGTGGACTGAAGGGTCCCGGGTTCGATTCCGGTCAAGGGCATGTACCTTGGTTGCCGGCACATCCCCAGTAGGGGGCGTGCAAGAGGCAGATGATCGATGACTCTCTCATCCGATGTTTCTAACTATCTCTCTCCCTTCCTCTCTGTAAAAAATCAATGAAATATATTTAAAAACAAAAAACAAAACATGACTAGTCTTGTAATCATTCATTCTCCTTTATAACCTCCCAACACTTACCCAGTGGCACACTTCTTGTATTCATTATTAGAGAAGCCACAATTACCAAATCTGTCACCTTTAGAATTCACATCAATGAAACAATCTCTCGGGGCAGCCTTGGCTTCTGTAATGTTAAAAAAAAAAAAATGTTTAAGTTCTGGCAATTTATTTCAGAAATAAAAGTATTCCCTATGATAGTGCATACAATTGGATGAACTGTCTCAATATCCTTGAAAAAGTTTTAGCCTTACAGGGAAAAAATTTTGTTCCACATTTTATACTTAACAATCAACTGTAAAAAAAAAAAAAAAAAAAAAAAAAAAAAAAAAGCTTAGATTATACTTAAAAGTTAGCCTAAACTCAAACACTCGAGGCCTAAAAGAAGTGCAACTATAAATAAACAAGATGAAACTATAAATAAATTAAAACGCTCACACAGTATGGGTAGCATTTTCAGCATAGTCATTCCCACTGTTCTCAAACACATATCTTTTGCACTCCTGGTGAGGAAAGGTTGATGAAAATATTACCAGCTATTATTTGGTTTTTTATTTACCATATGTGGAAGCTTAATTTAGGTATTCCTAGATAGACTGACAGCCACAACTGATAAAGTAGCATTCTAGCCCAGCCAGTGTGGCTCAGTGTTGTCTGTTGTTACATTGAGGACAGTGATTGTGAAAGAATGAGATCCTGAAAGCTGTAATGGAGATATGTAGGAAGACCCTGAAGAAGCTGGGGACACTAAACCCCTAAATTCTGATGAGTCTTCTTTGCCAGGGAAGCAGTCTTTCCACCCCCATCGAAGGGGATTAGGCGTGCACTGCCTGAGCACTCGAACAGAATCATCCAGTCTTCCTGGATCTCAGGCCTGCCAGCCTGGGTACTATAACTATTATACACCATTGGCTCTTCTGACTCGACAGCTTGCTGACGTACCCTGCAAGGGATCTACCATTCTCTGTGACTGTGTGAGCCAAATCCTCAAAATCATAGTGAATGCTTACCATGGGAAAAATCAAAAAAAAGTATTACCAAGATGTTATCTAAAGATCTGGAACAAGTAAAAAAAATAATCAGCTAGAAAGGTAAAAGTGGTTTCCTCAATGAATGGAGATATTACTTACAAGTACACTTTAATTTTTCATAAACTATTTAAATAATTTGAACCTTTATGTGTAAATATAAGTTTAATAAAAATGAAAATTTTAAAAAGAAAATCAGAAGAATTTTTAAACATCCTAAATATATTTCAATAATAGAATAAATTAAATTTATGTAATAGAATACTCTATTGCATTATGATCTAAATGTAAATCTCAATATAGATGGATCTCAAAAATATTTTGAGTGAACAATGAAAATAGCAGACCCCAAAGTATCGGGTCTAGTAATAATTAATGTCGTTTTTAACATTAGTTTAAAATCTTGCTTGGCTTTGACTTGTATTGACATAACCTTCAAACACGTGGTATCTACAGAACGTGTGAAGTGCAATTAACAAGTTTTGCTTGAAAAAGTTTGTGTTTGGTTTGGTTTTTGTTGCAAAACTAGGGCTAAGAAGATGGCGGATGAAGAGCATATTCGGCACTGCATGCTTTACCAGTTCCAATTAGGAAGAAAAGCAAGTAAGGCTGCAAAAAACATCTGTAGTGCTCTTGGTCAAGATGCAGTTAGCGCCAGGAAATGCCAGCGTTGGTTTGAGAAATTTCGCGAGGGAAATTTTTCGTTAGATGACAAGAGTGGTCGAGGCCGTGTGTCCAATTTTGATCAAGAAGCTCTTCAAGCTCTTTTGGTGCAAAATCCTCAAATTACCCAACAAGAGCTTGCGACAACTTTAAATTGTTCACAAAAAACAATTTCCAATCAGTTGCGTGCACTTGGCAAAGTCCAAAAGTTTGGAAAATGAGTTCCTCATGAGTTGACCGACAACAACCGTAATCAAAGAGTCACAATTTGCAGTTTGCTCCTCTCTCGTCAAAACCGTTTGCCATTTTTAGAGCAAATTGTTACCGGAGATGAAGAATGGGTGCTGTATGTTAATTTGAAAAGGCGGCCTCAATGGTTGGACAAAAATGAGGCTCCACAGCCCACGCCAAAACCTGACTTGCATGCGAAAAAAGTGATGTTGTGTGTTTGGTGGAATTTTAAAGGAATTCTTCATTATGAACTTTTACCATCTAACCAAACCATTACAAGTGTAGTGTATAGTGCCCAATTGGAAAGGTTAGCCCAAGCTTTAAGAGAAAAAGAACCCGCGCTGATTAATCGGAAGGGCGTAATTCTTCATCATGATAACGCATGACCGCATACTGCAAGAATCACTGCTGAAAAACTGCGCCAGTTGGAATGGGAAGTTCTCCCTCAACCTGCATATTCTCCTGATATTGCCCCTTCCGATTACCATTTGTTTCGTTCTTTGCAAAACTTTCTTCTTGGAAAAAAATTTAATAATGAAGAATGCCTCAAAAATGCATTGACCGAATTTTTTGCATCAAAATCACAAGAATTTTACAACAGAGGGATTAAAATGCTTCCTGAGCGTTGGGCACAAGTAGTAGAAAACAACGGCAACTATATTGTTGATTAAATTTTGTTGTATTGTTTAAATAAATTCGATTTTAAAAAGTATTAGAAAACGACATTAATTATTACTAGACCTAATATATCCCCATACTATTTATATGAATTAATTAAAACTAAAATTTGGTATTCTGTATATGTATATATATACTGAAATTTTTATTTCCACTTTTAACCAAAACTAAAGCAAAAAATAAATAAAACAAAAGCAAACAATTATAAATAAAATATCTTACTTGAACCAAAGATGACTTGACACTGAGCATCATAATATTGGCACATGCCATTGTAACAATAGGCTTTGTTATTCTGGCAAGGATATCCATTCTGAATAAAAACATCTGGCTGACAGAACTGAGAAGTACCATTGCAATATTCTGGAACATCACATTCATTGGTTTTTCCTCTACATAAAGTACCTCCTGGAAGAAACTAGGATAATAAGATTCAAATGAAACAGGAATGTCAGGACAATTCCTACAAGTTAATCAAATTTGAAACTATGGTATTATATGTATAAAAGTTCTAATAGCCAAAACTGGTTTATCAGTGGATAGAGCATCAGCCTGCAGACTGAAAGGTCCAAGGTTCGATCCCGGTCAGGGGCATGTACCTTGGTTGCGGGCACATTCCTGGTGGGAGGTGTGCAGGAGGCAGCTGATCCATGATTCTCTCTCATCGATGTTTCTAACTCTCTATCCCTCTCTCTTCTTCTCTGTAAAAAATCAATAAAATATATAAAATAAAATAAAAAGTTCTAATAACAACAAAAGATTAAATAACCCAAAGGAAAAATGAACAGAGGCCAATAATAGGCAATTCATAAAAGTCATAAAATACAGGGGAAAACATAACCTCATTGATAATCAAAAGAAATGCAGATTTGCCCTTCTGGCATGGCTCAGTGGTTGAACGGTGACCTGTGAACCAGGAGGGTATAGTTCAATTATATCCGATTTGTGGGTTCAATGCTCAGTGTGGGGCATGCAGGAGGCAGCCAAAAAATTATATTCTTTCATCACTGATGTTTCTCTCCCTCTCCCTTCATCTCTAAAATCAATAAAAATATTTAAAAAAAGAAATGCAAATTAAACAAAAATATAAAAGCACATTAAATTTATTAAACTAACCAGGATTATAACACTTACTAGAAACCAATGGTAATGTAAGGAAACAAGCATGTGACTAGACTAGTGGGTATAGAATGGGTGGGAAGTATGTAAAATGTTTGCCAAAAATGTTAATATTCAAACACTGCCCCAACAGTACTACTTATAAACAAAAATTGGAAGCAATCCAAATGCCCATCAATTGACTAGGTAAAGAAATTATGGTATAACCATACAAAGAAGTACTAACTATACAACCATGTAGAACTACATAAGTGGAAGAAAACCCATTGTATCTTATTGAAAATACCAATAGGAAAAATATATGTATCTATGTTTAGCAACTTAATCCCCTTCTTTGTATGCATGTGCACACACACATTCTAACACACACACACACACACACACACACACATTCACAATCATTTTTATACAGAAAAAAATAACTAAATTAATAACATATCAAAAATGGCTATGTCAGGAAGGTTAAAATAATGAGTCTTCCACTGTCTGTTTTCTCTACTTTGGGATTGTGGAATTTTTAATAAAAAACATAGATTTCTCTTAAAATTAAAAAATGTTTTTACTTAGGAAAAAAATCTCATTAGACTGTAGTGAAGAGAATGTGATGCAAAACTATAAACAACTGCCAAAAATGTTTCATGTAATCATGTAATAAACATAACGTTCTCTTACAGATCAAAGACATTTTGATATATAATACTGTTCCTTTTTCTTTCTTTTTTTCCAAAATAGGGAGAAATTTCTTACCAAACAGTCTTTACAACAGTCACCATATGCACATTCAGCAGATGATTTAAGCTTACAAGTACTTCCTTCACAACAAGGGTCCAATTCACATTCCTGTGAAAAGAAAATGACTGGCAATAAAGAAATGAGTTATTGTCATCAATATTCATTAATAAAATTCTTATCTTAGACCTCAAATCTATTTCTTTCTAATCTGGCAATAGCAATTAATCTCTGGAAATAATGCTGGATTTGTCAGTGATTCTTTAGCTGCAACTACCAGGTCTCAACATACATCAAATCATCGAGAGTATGTACCTTCATCTGCTGGTACTGCCAGAACAAGATACCATAGATGATGTCTTAAGCAAAACAAATTTATTATGTCACAGCTCTGGAGGCTGGACATCTAGGATCAAAGTTCCAGCCAATTAGTTTCTGGTGAGGACTCTCTTCCTGGCTTGCAGACAGCTGCCTTCTTGCTGTATTCTTAAAAGGCCTTTCTTCAGTGTGTGTTTGTTCAGAGAAAGAGAGCAACTTAGAATCTCTTCTTATAAGGACACCAGTCCTATCAGATCAGAGATCTGTCCCTAAGATCTATCCCATATTAATTTATGGGTGACACATTTAGTCCACAATAGTGTTTTTAATCATCACAGGAAATTAAGCATCCATGAATGCATCTCTCTTCATGCTCAGGGTCTGACTTCTCTGTTGAGTGGGTCTTCACCCTATGTGGACCTTCTTTTTTTAATTTAAATTCTTTATTGTTTAAAGAATTACATGCGCAGAAACCGGTTTGGCTCAGTGGATAGAGCGTCCGCCTGCAGACTGGAAGATTCCGGGTTTGATTCCGGTCAAGGGCATGAACCTTGGTTGCGGGCACATCCCCGGTGGGGGGTGTGCAGGAGGCAGCTGATCCATGATTCTCTCTCATCAATGTTTCTAACTCTCTATCCCTCTCTCTTCCTCTCTGTAAAAAAATCAATAAAATATATTAAAGTATTGCATGAGTCTCTTTTTCCCCCCATTGACCTCTCCACAGCCACCTCTAGCCCCAAGCATCAGCCCTCACCCTCCTTCTGTCTATGTCCATTGGTTGTGCTCATATGCATGCATACATATCCTTTGGTTGATCTCTTACCTGACTTCCCTCATAGGTTATATAATCTGTTCAATGCTTCTATCTCTTTGGTTCTATTTTTATTCATCCATTTATTTTGTTCATTATATTCCACAAATGAGTGAGATCATGTGATATTTATCTTTCTCTGACTGGCTTACTTCACTTAGTATAATGCTCTCTAGTTCCATCTATGCTGTTGCAAATGGTAAGAATTCCTTCTTTTTTACAGCAGCATAGAATTCCTTTGTGCAGATGTACCAGTTTTCTAATCCACTCATCTGCTAATGGGCACTTAGACTGTTTTCAAATCTTAGATATTGTAAGTTGTGCTGCTATAAACACAGGGGTGCATATATCCTTTCTGATTGGTGTTTCTGTTTTCTTGGGATACATTCCTAAAAGTGGAATCACTGGGTAAAATGGGAGTTCAATTTTTAATTTTTTGAGGAAATGCCATACTGTTTTCCACAGTATCTGCACCAGTCTGCATCCCTACCAGCAGTGCAAGAGGGTTCCTTTTTCTCTGCATTCTCACCAGCACTTGTCATTTGTTGATTTGTTGATGGTAGCCATTCTGACAGGTGTGAGATGGTACCTCATTGTTTTGATTTGCATCTCTCAGATGATTAGTGACTCTGAGAATGTTTTCAGCTGAAACCGGTTTGGCTCAGTGGATAGAGAATCGGCCTGTGGACTGATTGGTCCCGGGTTCGATTCTGGTCAAGGAGATGTACCTTGGTTGCGGGCACATCCCCAGTAGGGGGTGTGCAAGAGGCAGCTGATCGATGATTCTCTCTCATCGATGTTTCTAACTCTCTCTCTCTCTCTCTCTCTCTCTCTCTCTCTCTCTCTCTCTCTCTCTCTCTCTTCCTCTCTGTGAAAAATCAATAAAATATATTTTTTTTTAAGAGAGAGAGAATGTTTTCATATATCTCTTGGCCTTCTCTATGTCCTCTTTCAAAAAGTATCTATTTAGGTCCTTTGCCATTTTTTGATTGGATTGTTTATCTTCCTTTTGTTAAGTTGTATGAATTCCCTCTAAATGCTGGAGATTAAACGCTTATCAGAGATAACATTGGCAAATATGTTCTCCAATGTAGTAAGCTTTGTTGTTGTTTTGTTGATAGTTTCTTTTGATGTACAGAAGCTTTTTATTTTGATGTAGTCCCATTTTTTTTTTTTCCCCTTAGTTTCCATTGCTCTAGGAACTGTAGCAATAAAGATAATGGTACAACATATGTCTGCTATTTTGCTGCCATGGCTGCTTCTAAGATTTTTATGGTTTCCCTTCTTACATTTAAGTCTTTTATCCATTTTGAGTTTATTTTTGGGTATGGTGTAAGTTGGTGTTCTAGTTTGATTTTTTTTTTTTTTTTTTTATCTGTCCAATTTTCCCAACATCATTTATTGAAGAGACTGTCTTGACTCCATTGTATGCTCTTGCCTCCTTTGTCAAATATTAATTGAGCATAATGGCTTGGGTCGTTCTCTTTTCTATTCCATTGGTCTAGATGTCTGTTCTTGTACCAGTAGCTGGCAGTTTTTAGAACAGTGGCTTTTTATCTTTCTTGGCTTTTCCCACCCCACTATGGGCCACCATTTCTCTCCTACCCTACAAGCTCCCACCCACCAAGACACCTACTTTCCTATGTTCCAACTTTATGTCTTCAGCTCTGAATTGTTTAGGAAAGGAAGGAAAAACGGAAGAGAGAAGATAGGGGAAAGGAAGAAAAAGTGAGAAAGGACGGAAAACTAGATTTCTTATTTCTTATTAAAATAAGATGCCAACTTTGAGGGAAACTGGGTTAAAAAAAATACACTGCACTAGTTTTGTAACTTTTTGTCAGCAGAGTGGTGATTTCAGGGGTGGGGGCAGTAGAGAATGAAGATGGAAGAGGATATAAAGGGATAAATGGTGGAGAAAATATATAAAGAAAAAATAAAAATATTAATAATAAATTAACTGTAATCTATACCTTACATCATACAAAAAATTTAAGTCAAATGGATCACATACCTAAATGTAAAAGTTAAAACTATATAGCTTCTAGGAGAAAACATTGCAACCTTGGATCAAAAGATTTCTTAAATATGACACCCATAAAAGCTTAAATTAATAAAGTGGGCTTCATCAAAATATAAAACTTCTATTCTTCAAAACATACTGTTAAGCCAATTAAAAAAAATAAGCTAGAGACTGGGAGAATATATTTGCAAGTCATATATCTGACAAAGGACTTGTATCCAGAATATAAGTACTGTCCAAATTCAGTTATAAGAAAACAACTTAATTTTTTAAATGGGAAAGAGCTTAATTGACATGTCACCAAGAAAGACAGATGACAAGCTGAAAACATGCTCAAAATCATAAGTCATTAGGGAATGCAATTAAAACCTCAATGAGGTACCACTTCACACCTAATAGCACAGCTAACCCTGAAAAGACTGACTGTATAAAGTAGTGGCAAGGTTGTAAAAGAACTGTAACTCTCATACACAGATGGTAGGAACGTAAAATGGTACAACCACTTTAGGGAATGGTTTGAAAGTTTCTTAAAAACTTAAATATACACTTACCATATAACACAGGAATTTCATTTAGGGTATTTACCCAAGAGAAATGAAAACACAAGTTCATGTAAAGACATGTAGGTGAATGTTCAAGCAACTTTTTGTGTTAATACAAAACACCAGAAACACCTCAAATATACATCAAGAGATGAACTGACAAACTGTAGTTTATCCATATTATTCAATGATAATGAATGATACAAACAAATTAATTACCGTATTTTTCGGACCATAAGACGCACTTTTTCTCCCCCAGAAGTGGGGGGAAAAAGTCCCTGCATCTTATGGTCCAAATATAGCCTACACATATACTTTAAAAAAAAAGTTTTTTTACTTGCCCGGCTCTGTGTGGTCTCTGTGTGCTTGCCCGGCTCTAAAATGGTTCTAAATGCTGCTGTTTACTTTACAGGGTTGATTACATGTGTTTATGACTGTGATGTTGGGTTTTAATGCACATAAAATATTTTAGGACACTATTTGTTTCAGAATCTTTTTTTCTTCATTTCCCTTCTCTAAAAACTGGTGCGTCTTATGGTCCGGTGCGTCTTATGGTCCGAAAAATATGGTACTGACACTGCAGCAATGTGAATAATCTCAAAATAATTATGCTGAGTGAATAAAGCTAGACAAAAAAAAAAAAAAGAGTATTCCACTTACATGAAACTCTAGGAAATGCACTCTAATGTGTAATGTCAAAAAATAGGTAAGTGATTGTCTGAGGAGAATGGGGCAAAAGAGATTACCAAGGGTTGTAAAGAACTTTTTGATAGTAGTGACAGTTTCACATCTATATATATAAAAGCCAAGCAACCGGAATGCCAGAACAACCAGAACAACAGATGGGTATGACTCGCACTGCAGCCCCGATTCGCCCCTCACTCTGAATAGGGACAGGGCCAGCCAGCCAACTGCCTGTGGTCCCTCCCCCAGCCAGCCACACCCTCAATTAGGGTGGGAATGGCTGGCTCAGCCCCTATTAGCCCCAATCGGACCCCACCCATGCACAAATTCATGCAGCAGGTCTCTAGTATGTATATAATACATCAACTTGTATGTTTTAAACATGGGCAGTTTATTATTGACCAAGTCTTCAATCGCCTATTTCTTACCCTTTGCTTTGTCTTGACCTAATTTTAATAAAGCTTCTTTCTTTTATATAGGTCCCTGCACTCTGCTTGTCCCCCTCATCAAAATAGCTTCTTCTGGAAATCAGCTGACCACAACAGAATACTTTCCTATCAGTCCTCACTGGTTATTCCCCTTGCTTCTTAGCTCCTCCTTAAAAGATTCTACTTATCTATGCTTTGCCCCCACTGTTACCCTATTAAAGGAAAACCTTTTTCTCTTTGATTCTGAGATACTTCCAGATTTCGGAGATCAGAGTGGTCTTCCTATTACAGTAGCCTTTCCCTTATCTAAGTCCTAATTTAGTTTTTTGACATTGTATTAAATTATAGTTCAAAAAAGCTGTTAACTGTTTTTTAAAAAAAAAAAAACACTGTAAGATGGCTTCATTAAAAAAAGAGAATTAGGAAACAGTGTATACATGTATTCTGATTATGATAAAAGCATTATTTTAAATGGTTTTGTAATAACTAACCATTAATGGACAGAAGTTAATTTTCTACCTCAGTCTGCATGAACACCTCAATTAAAGAGTAATCTAAAAAATTTTAATTTAAAAAACACTACTAAAAAATATAAAGAAGCTATGATAATAATCTTGGAAAAGGAGTAATATTACTCAAATAAAAAATTCAAAAAATTTTAAGAAAAATAACTGATAAATTTGCCTTCATTTAAATTTTAAAGTTCAATATAATAAGAATACCTGCGATAAAAAGCTAAATGACAAGAATAAACCCTAGTGTAAACTGTAGACTTTGGTGATAATGATGTGTCAATGTAGAGCCATCAATTGTAACAAATGTACCGCTGTGCTGCAGAGTATGGACAATGGAGAAGTGCTTGTGTGAGGGGCAGGCAATATATGGAACTCTCGGTACTTTCCACTCAAATTTGCTTTGACCCTAAAATGTTCTAAGAAATAAAGTTGATTAATTTTTTTAAGCTTAATAATAAGCAACAGACAGAAAGGTAATACTAAAACCTATTCACAAAGAACTTTGCCCATAATACATGAGTTGCTAGAAGTAGATTTTAAAAAATCAACAGCACAACTTATAAACTTATGCAGGATATAAAATAATAACTCATAAAAGGAAATTATGCATGTGGTCTAAAAGCATATGAAAAGTGATAAAAACTAAATGAAAAGAACTATGTTATTTGAAGCAAACATAATCAGTTGAGAGGGTACATGGGAGGAGCTAGAGATTATGGAAGTTCTCACACTCCATACAATCCTACAGGAAGAACTCTATGTTAATAATAAAGTGCTATGGTTCTAACTTCCCTTTTCCCTTCTATAAATACCTCCTTATCTTGGCATGTAGGCCAGAGTGTGCACATATAATCATGTGATTTTTATCCTTCATTTTGTTTATGTGATGTATCACATTTATTGATTTACCAGACTTGCATCTCTGATGGGTAAAAAGGGTGGGAATGAGGGATATCTGTCATACTATCAACAATAAATGTACATTTTTAAGAATAAATTATTTTAAAAACATGAAATATGTAAGGATAGCCGAAACCGGTTTGGCTCAGTGGTAGAGCGTCGGTCTGTGGACAGAAAGGTCCCGGGTTCCATTCCAGTCAAGGACATGTACCTTGGTTGCGGGCACATCCCCAGTAGGGGGTGTGCAAGAGGCAGCTGGTCGATGTTTCTCTCTCATCGACGTTTCTAGCTCTCTATCCCTCTCTCCTCTCTATAAAAAATCAATAAAAATATATTTTTTTTTAAAAAAAAAGAAATATGTAAGGATAAAGAACTGAGAATGCCTGGAAAGGCAAAGAATTTGGTCATCCTAATAACATAATGTTAATTTGAAAATTAAACATGCTTTATTAGGCTTTATTTTCCTCACTTGAAAATGATAATATAAAAAATATCAATCTGCTTGAGTTACTGTGAGAGAATTACACCATGTAAAACATTGAGCAGAAGTCCTGACATGCGGCAATAACGCGATGAAGGCTAATTACAATTTCATCATATAATACATACTGCCTTTCTAGAATGGGAAGTCTTCTGGCAAAGCCAGGTGTGGTCGGGTGAAGCAGAAGAACTTGTGGGAAAGATTGAGAATAGAGTGATGTTTCCACAAAAATGAACAAATTTTCTTTAAAATTTAATGCTAGGCCCAGGAGAAGGCCATTTGGAGAGGAAAATGGCTAAGATATAGAACAATAATAATAAAAATGAGCATAGGCTTATGGAAATAAGTATGGGCATCATACTTATTTGATAAAACCACAGGTCAGTAGGTAAACTGGAGGTTAATTAAGGGAGGATGTTAATTTCAGTGCCAAGAACTTTGTTAATGAAGGGCTCTGGAGAATGAGCCAGCTTCAATTTATTATTAAAATGAGTTCAACCAAATAAATATTTCTGCAATGGCAGTGCCAGACAGAATGTTAAGACTTTACCAGTAGAACCAAGTGAAAAATCAAGTCATTCTTTAAAGTAAATAAATGACCCAATAACCATAACAGAAATGGTATAAGCTACAAAAATAAAGAAAGAATCGGCATGGCGCTTTCCTTGACATCAAAACAGATGACATCATTAGTTATGTTCTGGGAAGGAGGAGATGACCAATCCCAGGAACAGGTCCCTACAAGGAAAATGCCAATCCTCTTTCTGCCACTAAATTTTACTTTGGCTCCTATGCCAGAGTTGCCACAGCAAGCTATTTAATTTTTTGCAAACCCTGAAGTAAAGTGACAAAGCAAAAAGCAAACATTCAACCAACCTTTGGAGAACCACAGTCACACTCTTCCCCGGGGTCCACCAACTTATTGCCACAGAAAGGAGCACTATAGGCCTCATCAGGCTTGGGAATATTAAGAAGGCAGTTTCCTCCTTTATTTAAAGTTAACTTCTCAAAGTCCTCTGCACTGCAACTGCTGAAGTTCCTGGAACCTCTATAATAAACATCAAGAAAAAGAGCTCATGTCAGAGCAATTTTTTCAAAAAAAATTTGTCATGTCTTCAACCAAATAGAAATGAATACTTAAAATAGTAGTTAATAAGCTAACCAAAATAGAGAGAAATGAAAATTAATGTCTATTTCTAAAAAATATAAAACATTATTTCAGTTACTATATAATAATTACTATTTGGGTTACAATATATTATACATCTATGAAAAAAATCTTCCAAACAATCACTTTCATTGAAATACAAAATCATAAATCTTGTCAGAATACAGTTTAGAAATTATCTAGTCCTATCCAGAATTAAGTTATATTTATCTTCCATAGTAAAAGTACTTGGAGCTAGCTATACGTTTACCCAATCTTCTTTTCACTTATTGTTTTACTCTTATCATTATAAAATATCTCCACATAATCCCACTAACTATTAATGGGAAACACACCCATAAATACAACAAGAATCTTCTAGAAATCCAAATCACATTAAAATTTTATCAGGGGAATTTTGTGCCCTAAAACAATCTATTTTTCATCAGGTTGAGCAATGTTGCTAAAGTAGCAGTGGGAATAAAAACAGTTGCATTATAGTGTTTGAGTCTCTGTTCATCCAAGGAATCTAAGGAACAGTTTCTTCCTGTGAAATTTTGTCCCCTGGGTATTCAGTTTACACTTCTTTGCTAACTGACCCAAAATCTTAGGGAAGGAGATAGGCCTGGCTCTAGGCTTTGGGGAATGGAAGGCAGTCTGTCTAGAACATTTTGGTACTGTTAACTACTCTTCGACAAAAAGGTATTTGATTATGAGATGCTGAAGGATTTTAACAGATTAGCAGAGAAGGAACATGAACAATCAATTGCCTATTACAAAAGAATGAGTAAAGACAGTATTTTGACTCACACAGAAAGGAAATGCAGGGCATAAGCTTTTTGACAATAACAACACTTGTTTTCCACATTCTTCTTTTTCTTGCTATTCTCTGTTTAAGAATATTGTGAGGAATCTTTTTTTTTTTTTTTTTTTACAATATCATTCATTCAACAAATATTTGTTAAAACATTTCTTATATTCAAGGCATTCATCTCTGTTAAGGGATAAAACAGTAAACAAAGCAAACAAAAATCCCCAACCCTGTGAAGATGACATTCTAGTGAATGAGACTGTAAACTTAGTAAGTAAATTCAAGCTCTAGCCAGTTTGGCTCAGTGGATAGAGCATCGGCCTGCAAACTGAAGGGTCCCAAGTTCAATTCCAGTCAAGGCACAAGCCCAGGTTGTGGGCTTGATCCCCAGTAGGGAGTGTGCATGAGGCAGCCAATAAATGATTCTCTCCTATCATTGATATTTCTCTCTCTCTCTCCCTCTCCCTTCCTCTTTGAAATCAATAAAAATATATTTAAAAGTTATATATGTAAATTTAATAGCATATTAGTTGATAACTACAATTGAGAAAAAAGGTGAAGAGATGAAGGGGATGGCCTGTGTAGGCAAAGAAATGATTCCAATTTTTAAAAGAGCAATCAGGACAGACATTTCAAACATTGTGACAATTGAATCAAAACTGGCTATTTGGGGCAAGGAAATATTACAGAGAGAAGTAAAAAGTACAAAAACCCTAAGATAGAAGCCCGCTTGCTCAAGAAAAAAATAAAGCCAGAAGGCTGGAGTAGGAGTGAGTAGTGAAGAAATGGGTAATGTGAGATACCATCAGCAAAGGTGGAAATAGGCCATTATAAGAAATTGACTTTTTTACTGAAAGGAGATTGGAGAGAGGGAGAAGGGAAAGAATGACAATAGAAAGTGTTGAGCAGGAGCTTCTTGATCTGAACAGGATTACATGGCTACTATGAAGAGGCTACTGCCGAATTCCACTTAACAAAGAGCAGCCAGATAGCAGTGGGAGTAATAAGAAGTGTTTGGATTACGTATATGTTTTAAAGAAATAACCATTCAGAAGAAGAACATGCCATAACAGAGAAGTCAAGGAAGACTCTGAGATTTTTGTTCTGAGCTGCTAGAAGGAAGAAGGTACCATTAATTGACATGGGGAAGACTGGGTAGAGCAATTGTCCATAAATATATGTGTCTATTAGTGGACTCTTCTATTTCATTTGTTTGTTTTTCTATATTTGCATCAAAACCCCATTTTTCTAAATCCCATGGCTTTATAATAGGTTGTCTAAAGCAAGTTCTTCTATAATACTTTGAGCTACTTGTTTAAATAGGATGGTGGTTAACAGTGGGAAGGGGGATAGGAGAGTAAATAAAGGTAAAGGGGCAAAATATATAGTAATGAAAGATTATTTGACATTGGTTTATGAACAATTGATTCATGACTAAACTGACTATTAAAAATAGCAATGAAAAGAAAGTTTTTTTAACAAATGATATCAGTTCAACAAAGTATTCATATTGGAAAAAACTTTGCCTCTACCTTACACAATGCACAAATGGTGATTTGAGGTGGATTATGGACCTTAATATGAAAATCAAAATCAATGAAGAGTTGATTTTGTCACTAAATGTCACCAAAAAATTATAAAGACCTTTCTACAAGTCAATAAACATAGACAACCCAATTAAAAAAAAAAACTGGGGAGAAATGGAACAACATCTTCACACACAAAAAATCCAATGACCTATAAACATGAATGTGATCTACTCTAATCTCATTAGTAACCAGGAAAATGCAAAATAAAAGCACAATAAAATACCACTAAATACCCAACTTATTATTGAAGTTTGAAGTAAATAATATCAATTACTGGTGAAGTAGGTAGTGGGCACTCTTTGAACCCCACAACACATCTCTTCCATTTACCTTTGATTTCAGCAGAGTAATAGTGGCCAGTTCCCTCTAAGCTTTTTCCCTCAGGTGCAACTCAAAAACATAGAGGAGTTCAAATCCCAGGGGGCAACCATTAAACCAAAGAAAGATGAAAGCAACAAAAATAAACATGTACTGCAGCTACCTACACCAGAATGCACAAACATCACAAATACAATGTTGACTAAAAAAGAACAAAACAAAAAACATACCAGCAGGAAACATACTGCATACTGATACATTTCAAAACCCCTAGTAGATCTCTAAAACACTTAGTACTGAACTCTATATATATGTTTTCCTACAGATACATCACTATGATGAAGTTTAATTTATAAATCAGGCTATAGTAAGAGATTAACAACAATAACTAATAATCCTATCTAATAAAAGACTGATATGCAAATTGATCATCACTCCAACACACAAGATGTCTGCCCCCATGTGGTCAAAAATGGCTGCCCCATGTGGACACAAGATGGCTGGCAGGGGAGGGCAGTTGTGGGCAATTAGGCCAGCAGGGGAAGGCAGTTGGGGGTGACCAGGACTGCAAGGGAGGACAGTTAGAGGCAACTGAGCTGGCAGGGGAGCAGTTAGGCATCAATCAGGCTGCAAGGGATTGGTTAGGGGCAATCAGGCACGCAGGCAGGCAAGCAGTTCAGAGCCAGCAGTCCTGGATTTTGAGAGGGATGTCCGACAGCCTGTTTAGGGGTCCCAGATAGGAGAGCGTGCAGGCTGGGTGGAGGACACCCCCGACTCCATGCACGAATTTCTTGCACTGGGCCTCTAGTAAAATAGAATAGTTATAGAAATATGCTATAATAATAGCTATGTGAATGTGGTCTCTCTCTCTTCTCTCAAAATACCTTATTGCACTGGTTTGCCCTTCTCATGATGTTGTGAGATTATATAGTGCCTGTATGATGAGGTGAAGTGGATACACTGGACAAAGGAATGATTCACATCCCAGGCAGGATAGAACAGGACAGTGTGAGATTTTATCACATTATTCAGAACAGTGCAAATTTAAAACTTATAAATTTTCTATTCAATATTTTCACACCATGGTTGACTGGGTCACGGTTCGACTGCAGAAAGTAAAACCACAGAAAGAGAAACCACAAATAAGGAGGGTAACTGTAATTCTGTTTATTAACTAATTAATCTACTCTATAATTAGAGCTCAAAAGAGCCAAAAATGAAAAGTAGTTAGGAATACATTTAGGTGGCAAAAATGTAAAGAAAATGAAGGAAATTATTACCATAAAAATTAAGGTATTGTTTAACTTTAAAGGAAAAGGTGTAATAGAGAAAACTACAAAAGGGATTTCTGAGGACTGGTAAGTGACATAAATGTTTACTTTATAAAAATGTGTTCACTGTAAGTTTTAGCTAGCTTTTCTATAAGTTTTATTTATGATAATAAAAGTGTTTTGTTCTAATATATCATAACTTGTACCAGAATAAGAAGACCCAGCAAAAATTATTTGCAGTCCTTCACTTCCTATAGCTAGGCTCAGCAACATACAGTAAACTAGAAGGGCCCTTATTCAGGTTTAAGAAATCCTACAGAAAAAAAAAAGAAAAAAAAAAAAAGATGACTTTGCTCAACCTGATGGTGGTTATTAGAGATCAGGAAGCTGACATGGGCCATAGCATTGATAAGAAGTAATCTTCCTATCTAATAAAAGAGTAATATGCAAATTTACCATCACTCCAACACACAAGATGGCCACCCCCCTGTGGTCAAAGATGGCAGCCCCCATGTGGACACAAGATGGCCACCACAAGATAGCCAGCAGGGGAGGGCACTTGTGGGCAATCAGGCCAGCAGGGGAAGGCCATTGAGAGAAACAATGCCTGCAAGGGAGGACAGTTGGGGGCAGTCAGGCCTGCAGGGGAGGGAAGTTGGGGGTGACCAGGTCAGCAGAGGAAGGCAGTTGAGGGTTTCCAGACCTGCAGGGAAGGGCAGTTGGGGGGGTCCAGGCTGCAGGGGAGATCAGTTGGGGGTGACAGGGCCTGCAGGGGAGGACAGTTAGAGGTGATCAGGCTGGCAGGGAGGGCAATTAGGGGTGACTAGGCCAGCAGGGGAGGGCATTTAGGGGCAATCAGGCCAGCAGGGGAGCAATTAGATGTTGATCAGGCTGGCAGGGGAGTGTTTAGAG